TAAGATTTTATTTATTTGAGAGAGTGCACACAAGTGGGGGGCAGAGGACAGAGGGAGAGGGAGAAGCAGTCTCCCCACTGAGCAGGGAGCCCAATGCAGGGGTCGATCCCAGGACCCTAAGATCATGACCCGAGCTGAAGGCAGATGCTTAACTAACCGAACCACCCAGGTGCCCCAAAAGCAATTTATCTTAATAATCGAAGAGTAGCACATTCAGGTGAACTCTGTTCCTGTGTGGGTTCAAATCTTACTGTTCAAAATTCGCTCTTAACAGTAAATAATAAGGGATGAGGGAAATGGGTTAAAAACGGTCCACAGGACACTCTGTGAAAAAGGAGCCAAAGACTATAGAACTTTAGAATTTTTTGAGTTTTATGACCTATATTGCCACACCTTCCTTCTGGAAGACAGTTTTTTGGAGAACTAGGGGCCAGAAACATGTTACAGAACTGATAGTTCATGGCTCTGAAATAATAACTCCTCTGGGGCTGGATCTCTGTCAGCTCTGCAGTCCTCCTCCTAGTTGCTCAAATCTCCTTGCCAAAGTTAGGATATGTTCAGGGGACCCCGGCTCAAATAACCCAACGTTCTCTTCCTCTCTGCCCTCCTCCAACTGGGAGGTGTTAGCAGTATTGCCCAAGGCTTCCCTGGAGCGGCTGGAATTGTTTCTGCTGGGGGAGACACTCAGCAGCCTGGGCTCTGGGGGACTGAGGCAGCGTCAGCTAGCGTGAGTGCGGGGGGCCCGGGAACATCTGCCTTACCTGGTTTGTTTTCGAGAGTTAAAGGAAAGAAGCTGAGGGTAAGGGTCTCCTGAGAATTTCACTGAAGAGGAAGAGGCCGCAGGGAAACCACTGAGGGGGAGAGATTATTCAAGGTGAATAACCAAGACTGTAGGGTAGATATTCTGGGGCACTAGCTTTTCCAGAACACAGCCGAAATAGCTGGTTTTAAGTGATGACTTTCTTCCTAGTTGAACATTCAGGGAAGGACTGGCAGGGTACGCTTGCCTAAAAAGAGAGGAATTGTTGCAGAACTTTTGCATCAAAAAAAAAAAAAAAGACTGAAGCTGAAATTTATTCTTTTAGTCTCTTTTGGATCCTCATCTGGGAGCCCCTTAATTTCATCTAAAACCTCTTATCTCTTAAAGCTACCCTTATTTGTCATTTCTTACCCTGAGCCCTTGTCAGAAACATCAGTCTTGACAAGTAGGCTGTGGGGCACCTCCTCCCAATGGAGCTCTAGGGAGTGACCGCTTGTCTGTGACGTTCATGCTCCAGCCTAATGCCTTCTGTTGAGGGAGCTGGAGCTCCCCGGCAGCCTGGGCCTCATCGGGGCCATGAGAGGTTGGGAACTGACCCTGCGGGCCTCAAGCTGAGGGCTTTCTGATGGACCTGTGACTCTGCTTTGCAGCTTGAAGAGCTATGATGGCGGTCAACAAGGACCCAACCTTGGTGGATGGAGACCTCCCTGTAAGTAACTTGAGAAGTGGGGGGACCACTGAGCAGGGGAGGAAGGAGCAGGGAGGAGAGGTTCAGGGGACTCAGAACAAGTTATGTCTAGATTATATTCCTGTTTCATTGGCCATTATGTCTTTCATTATTCTTGCCCTCAGTACCTTTTGCAGGGTGCTCTTGGGGTGGGGGGGTGCCTACTGAAAACTGAGCACCTCGGAAGAAAAGAACAGAAATATTGGCTGAGTTGGTAAGGAGAGGAAGGGAACTACTGTGTTCTAAACCCTGATACAAACACCCACGCTTTGCCCGCCCAGGCGGGATGTAGATTCAAATGCCAAGCCACTGCATTCTGTAACTCTGGGGTGTCGTGCGTGTTCTAGAGTATGAGAATGGCCCCTCTCGGGGTTACACGACACACAGCCTGTGCTGCATATGGGAAAGGGTTAGAGGAACATTATTTCCGGGGTTCTGTGTCTAGCCTGGTTTTCACTGTGACTTGGAGGAGCAGTGTGATACCTTTAGGGGTACCTGACCCTTCCAGGCAAGGCCTCTCTGATTTAGGCACAGTTCAGATAGTGGGTGAAACTTAAAAACTGTGAGCCTATATAATGCCCATCTTGTCCCAAGTGAGGCTTTAGCTAACTTTTGCACTTGGAATCACCACCAAGTTTTATATTAAATCATAGAACACAGAGGCATAAAATGAACCAGTGCATAGTTAACCCATCCAAACGGTTGGTGGTTTATTCCCTTCCCAGGACCTCTCTGTCCCTCTTTGGCTTTGCTTACAACAACCCCCGAAGGCTCTGTCCAAATGTTAAAGAAAATATTCTCTTGTTTACAGTCAGATTCTTTTTCTAGGTCAAATTTCAAACTCACCTGCAAAATGAAAGCTAAAAAATTGTAGCCTGCTGTTACAAGTCTCCTTGATGGGTCTCCTAACTCAGCCTACAAATGGAAGAGGCTAGGTCCTCACCTCCAGAGCAGAACCCTGTAACAGGGACATAGTCAAACTGCAGAGAGCTCCAGTGTCTGAGTCAGGACCTGGGGAGCTTTCTGTCTTTACTTTTCATGTGGAGAATTCTTAGCCTTCCTAAGAGTGGACAGAAGAATATTAATACCCTTCACTAGCCACAACAGCCATTAATCAATCCTGTGGCCAATCCTGCCTCACCTGCGCTCTCCTTTATCCCCAGACCTTGCGATATTTTGAAGTGAATCTTGCAGATAGGCCAATTCAGGCCTGAGTCGGAATCCTGACTCTGTCATTTACTAGCTGTGTGATCTTGGATAAGTCACCTCACATCTCTGGGTCTTTGTGTCCTCACCGGCAAAGTGCTAGTGCTGACGTCAGAGGGTCACTGTTAGAATTCAGTGAGGTCTTGTCACCCAAGCCCCCCAGTCAGTGCCTGGAGTAAATATTTCCTCGTGCAGGACTAGAACCCACATTCTTTACTCAAAGACCAGTGTGTGTTCACTGAAATTCCCGGGTGACCTTAAGTTTCATTGTATGGCTGCATTAATAAGAGCACAGCACCTCAAAAATGAGAAGCAACAAGTTCACTGTACCCCACATGCTTAGACCACACCTGGAATGCTGTCTTCAAGTTGGAGTGCTGTACGTTTAAGAAAGACAACACTAAACTGTAGCCTAGCCAGAGGGGACCACCAGACCAGGGCAGTAAGCTGAGCCAGGATCTGGAGCTATTTAGCACGGAGGAAGGACCACTAAAGGCAGGCATATTGCCTTCAAGTATGTGAAGGGCCAGCCCATGAATGATGAAATAAATGTGCTCAGTGTTGTTCCAGAGGGCAGAGGGTAGAGCAGCGGGTGAAGGCACATTGCAGCTCAGCAGCGCTGTCCAACGAGGGCCACAGGCCACTCTATGAGGGCCAAGGTCCATCCAAGGAGGCATGTCAATACAAGCCTGCCGTGGAGGGGAGGAACGTGGGGGGATGGGGTCACTAGGTGATGGACATTAAGGGGACATGTGATGTAATGAGCCCTGGGTATTACATAAGATTGATGAATCACTGACCTCTACCTCTGAAACTAATATTATGTATTAATTAATTGAATTTAAATTAAAGAAAATGAAGAACTTGAGAAAAATTTTTAATTAAAAAAAAAAAAAATACAAGCCCGCCAGAAAGACTATGGGAAGCTCTTTTGCTGCAGAGGCTCCTGGAGGCCTAAACTTCTGTGATTCTGTGTAGTTGGGCAGATCTCAACTTACCCCTCCTAGGCGCAGCCCCGACCCATTCATTTATTCAGCCAGCATTGCTGCCCTGGAGCTAGGCACTGGGAGAGGGACGAGTACACACACGATCACAGCACCATGTGATGGAGGCGAGCCAGGGAAGAAGTGGTGGCTGCTGTTGTGAGGAGAAGGGTCAGGAAGCTTCCCAGAAGCAGTGATGCTCAAGCTGTGTCTTGAGGAAGCAGCATTCTGCCAGATAGATGGGTATGGGAGGGAAGGGGGAGCATGCACAGGCAGGGGACCAGCCTACGTAGGCAGGGAGGCCGTGTCCCAGTATCTCAGCAGAGCCCAGATTGAGCCAGGAGAGCATAGCAGGCTGGCTCTGGTTTTTCCTGTGAGCCATCCAGAGACCTCTGTGGCCTGGGTTCCTCCTAGGTTACTGGGACGCAGGCTAGCCTCCCCAGTGGGCTCCGTGACCCGGGGCTGCCTTCCCGTGAGGCAGGAACATGCAGGGAACACCTTGATTGCCTGCCTTCCTTCCTTCCGCTCCAGGAGCAGGAGAACGTGTTGCAGAGGGTCCTGCAGCTGCCGGTGGTGAGCGGCACCTGTGAGTGTTTCCAGAAGACCTACACCAGCACCAAGGAAGCCCACCCACTGGTGGCCTCCGTATGCAATGCCTACGAGAAGGGTGTGCAGGGCGCCAGCAGCCTGGCGGCCTGGAGCATGGAGCCGGTGGTCCGCAGGCTGTCCACCCAGTGTGAGTCCTCCGGGCACTGGCAGGCCACCACCTGTCTATCTGTCTGTCTGTCTGGTAGCTTGCTTGTCTGTCTGCTGATATGTCTGTGCGCCTTTTTGGCTGTCCGATGGCCTTTCTAACCACCTATATCCCGTTACATGATCTTCTCCTCTACAGCTATAGATGATACAGTGAGAGACGGCTGTAGATACAGGTACAGATATGGAGGTACATCTCTCCTCCTCTGTAGATGTCCCATCTACAGCCCAGTTGGCATTTTCCTGGGATGACAATGATGGGCCAAAGAATTGGCAGGGCAAGGGATGGGCAGAGCTGTGTGGGCAGTGGTGGGAGTGAGGCTCGTGGTAGACCAGATGCCCACTTTGGCCCCAAATCCAGCAGCAACAATAGGAACTAGCAGAGTCTGATACAGAGGCAGGGGCAGGAGACTCTAGGTCTGGCCCAGCAGAGCCTTGGGGTGGGGCAGGGGGGGACGGGAAGATGTCTGGGCCCAGCAGCAGAGAGCTAGCAGCCTGGGCCATGGAGGTGGAGAGCAACTGTCCATACGGGCCCTACTACCTGACTCAGCCCTACTCAAATTGTTCTGCCCCATTTGAAAATATGGTCTCCAAGGAAAGGCTCTCTCTCTGTCTTTTTTTAAATTCCAGTATAGTTAACATACAGTGTTATGTTAGTTTCAGCCATACAACATAGTGATTCAACACTTCCACACATCACCCAGTGCTCATCACGACAAGTGCATCCAAGGCAAGGCTCTTGACAGGGCTGAGGGAAATTCCAGCAGCACCAAGAAGTCTAGGACCTTCTACCATCCTGATTAGAGAATTATGGGTGCATGAGGATTCTGCCTTGGGCCAGCCTCCTTGCCTCCAAACTCCTTCAAAAACTTCCCTGGGTCTCATTTTGCCCAGTCAGAAGATGGCCCAAGTCATCTGGGCTCTCTGCTGCTTGAGAATTTTGTGAAGAAATGTAAGCTATCTAGAGAGAGAATATATGAAAGCATAGAGAACTGATCTCCATGATCATGACTGCAGAGCTCTGTCTTCAGCAGCCCGTACCTCCTAGAAGCATCTACATACTCTGGCACTTGCCCCCCTCTCTGGGGGCAACTCCTTTCTCTTCCCTGCCACCCTCTTGATCATCTTACTCCTAGAAGGTAGAAGGAAGGACATGGACACACCTTGTCTTCATGCCCACCCAAACCTCACCCAGACAGGGGAGGGAGGACAGGGAAGGAGACACCAGTATTTGTTGGTGATTCACAGAGTTCTTGTCACTTCCTCCTCACCACAACCCAGCACGTTAGGCACCATTAGTCCACATTTGACAAACAGGGAACCTGAGGCTCAGGCACGCTGTGACTTACCCGAAGCCACACTCTGCAGATGCACGCACTGGGCTCTGCGTGCAGATCTGCCTGACTCCAGAGTTCCTACACAGAGGGAAGACACCCGCCTGGCCTCCCGGAATGGGGAGCTAAAAGGGGCTGGGGAGCAGGGTAGGGGGGGGACTCAGGTTCCAAGATGCTTCCGATGCAGCAGGGCTGGGGGGTTTTGAGGGCTCTGAGGTGCCTTCCTTGACACAGAGGCCACTGCTAGGTCTTTGTGGCTCACCCCACTGTGGCCTTTGCTTCTAGTCATAGCTGCCAACGAGCTGGCCTGCCGTGGCCTGGACCACCTGGAGGAAAAGATCCCAGCCCTCCAGTACCCTCCTGAAAAGGTGAGCCCCTTTCCTCTTCTCTAATGTGCCCCGTACTCTGTTGTCCCACCTCTCAGGAGGAGAGGGCACAGGCTGACGATGCCATGACTGTCAGCCTTTCATTTCTATGGCAAGTGCCCTCCAAGCTTGGGGGTGGCCGCCTGCCCCTAAGGCCACAAGTGGGCTTAGTCCTCTCCCTGTGGTGCCAAATGGAGGCAGGCTTTCTGGAAAGCAGGCACAGCCCAGGGGCTAACTCAAACAGGGGCTTGGGGTGGGTCCCACTGCTTCTAATCCCATGATCCCCCTTCCCCACCTCAGGATACCTGGTGGGCCGGCACTGGGCCACTTGGTAACTATAGTCACCCAAGATCATGGGCCACACTCATCGGAGCTCAGGATTGCAGTCCCATGTCCTCAAGATCCAGCCCTTTATGGACCAGGAAACTGAAAAAGTCCCTTTACCTAGCTGTATATTCATTGGGTATTTGCTAGATAAGGGCCATGTCAGGCGCTTTTGGGGAATAAGCTTCATCTCACTGACTAACTATCTACTCATCCCACAAACATTTACTGAGCCCTACCCTATGCCAGGGGCCACAATGCGATTTATGGAGCCCTCCCATTTAATCCTCTTGTCAACCCTCTGGTACAGGGTGGGTATCCCCATTTTACAGATGAGAAAACTAGTGACTTCACCCTGGGCACACAGCCTTCAGTGGAGGCCACATGAGAGCAGGTCTGTTTGGCTCCGAGGCCTGTGCTCTTCACATTTTTCCAGATGAAGGGCATCTTTGTCACAAAAGAGCTCCCAGACTACTAGGAGAGAAAGATAAATTATTCCAATACAGAACTGGTAGGAAGATCAGGCACATCTCTGACTCAGTCTAAATGTAGATGGGAATGAGAGCATGTTCTGAGGGAAGGACAGACAAGACATTCGAGGAATTTGGGAGTGGAGATGCCTTGTGAGCATGAGAATATCAAGACAGGTGTCATCAAGGAGGTGGCCTTTGGGGGGTAAAGTTGGTTAGGATGTTGCCAGGCAGAAGTGGGGTTCAAAGAGGCCAGGAGATCCATGCACAGGGAGGACTGGAGCCCTTTCCCTTTAAAGCTCAGCTTAATCAAGGGGTCCAGATATTGGTGCCCCTCCCCTGGGCCTTTATTTTATTTTATTTTTAAGTAAGCTCTATGCCCAGTGTAGGGCTGGAACTCATGACCCTGAGATCAAGAGTCACACGCTCTACAGACTGAGACAGCCACATGCCTCTCTCCTGAGCCTTTAAATGAAGCCTTCCTGGAAGCTGGGCTCAGGGCTACCAGACCAACAGGCCTGCCTCCCCTCCCCATCTCCCCCAGATCGCCTCTGAGCTGAAGGACACCATCTCTACCCACCTTCGCAGTGCCCGCAATAGCATCAGCGTGCCCATCGCCAGCACTTCGGACAAGGTCCTGGGGGCCGCTCTGGCCAGCTATGAGCTCGCCTCGGGGGTAGCCAAAGACACTGCCGAGTATGCTGCCAACACCCGAGCCGGCCGGCTGGCCTCCGGAGGGGCTGACTTGGCCCTGGGTAGTGTTGAGAAGATGGTGGAGTTCCTCCTCCCTTCAGCCAAGGAAGGGTCAGGTATCTACCATTACGGGGGGCTGGCAGACCCTTCTTGGGAAGTGAGTTGGCTGCCCATGCTGCCTGGGAATTAGTAAGAGGCAGCCAGGGCTCAGCCGGCCACGGCTCTGGAACAGGGAAGGCCCAGCAAGATTTCCGGAGGGATCTGTCCTAATTTAGCCTCCTCTCCCCATTTGTGAGTGGGGAAAGTGAGTGACCCAAGTCACCGGCTCCACTTGTGGTGGAGCTCAGGTAACCACTTTCCAACCCTAGACACAACCTCAGCTTCCCCAGCACCCCTCTCTCTCTGATCAGCTTTCCTTGCTTTCCCCCCAAATCCCATCCAGCCCCTGCTCCAGGACAGCAGCAGGCCCAGAAGCCCCCCAAAGCCAAGCCGAGCCTCATGCACAGGGTTGGGGCCCTGGCCAGCACCCTCTCTCAACACACCTTCCAGACCACAGCCGGGGCACTGAAGCAGGGCCACGCCCTGGCCATGTGGATCCCAGGTGTGGCACCCCTGGTGAGTGTCTGCCCTGAGCTCTGGCTGACCCCTAGCCTGGGTCCCTCCCATCCCACCCAACTCCACCTCTGGTCCTAGGAACATTCTCTCCTCCAGCTTGGGCTGGGACTTTTGGTTTAAGGACAGGAGGCCTTAAGGGGGTGGAGGGCCAGTCCTCTGGGCTTCAAGGAGAGGGGAAAGGACAGGCTGTGAGCCGAGGGCACTTCTGTCTCTCTCCCTCTCCCTCGGAGTCCTACCCCCGGTATTCATCCTCACAAGGGAGCTTCTTGCGGTGGGCCCTCCCACCTATGAGGGAGCAGAGACCCCCTAGCTGCTATCCAAGGACGAGGAAGTGTCACCTGTAAGTAAGCAAGGTCCCAAACCCCTTCTGCTGGGGAGAGAATGCTGGCTGGGCTGCATCCCTGACTCTGACTGCCCCCAGGTTGTAAAATTTCCCCTTTAGAGGCTTCTAATTTGCATCTTACTTGCACCTAAGGTAAAGCTGCCTTTTCTAGGCCCAGGCAGGGCTAACTGCCCACCATACCCCACCCCCACTGTGTATTTTAGCAGATAGAAACTGGACTTTTTTCATAAGAACCTTTATAAGAAACAAAGGCCAAACCAAGGAAAACAAAGGAAATAAAAATTAAAACTTAAAGCATAAAGGTCAGCAAACAAAACAACCACTTCTCAGCCATCATTTAAATAACACTTTTGAAAGCATCATCAGGCCTGACTCATTCATTCAAACAAATGTTTGCTGAGAACCTACTATGCGCCAGGTTCTGTGGCTCCAGTAGGGATACGGGAGTAGTGGTTCTCTTCTGTCCCCTGCCCTGGGGGATCATTTACCCGTGGGGGCTGCGACTGACCCATGTCCCAGCCGTACGTGTAGTAGGGAGGGCCTGCTGTACTGTGCAGCCTGTTCACACAGAACATAATGGTGTCCCCTGAAGCTGTATGATAAAGAGGCCCTGTTTGGGGAGTTCCCTAGGGCTAGGAATGAGCCAGGCTGTGCCTCAAGGGGGCACCAGCCCACCTGCCCAGGTCTGTTTCCACCCATGGGACACTGGGGTCCTCTGGATTTTTTCACTCTTTAAAGATCTCCAAGTCTCCAAGGAGAATCTACTAAAGCTAAACACGCCTCCCCCCCCGCCCGCCCCAAGACCCAGCAATTCAACCCAACAGAAATGAGAGCTTACGTCCCCCTATAAGACACGTCAAAATGTTCCTATCAGGCTTTATCCTTAGCCAAGAACTGGAGACAGCACAGATGTCCACCAACAGCAGGGTGGGTAAATTGTGGTGGCTCTACATGGACTATGACACAGACGTGACAAGGAAGGAGCTATCTTGATGTGCAATAGCTCGAATGAGTCTCACAACACCATGTTGAACAGAAGAAGCTATTTGTGAAAGAAGACCCATTGCATGAGTCCATTTATATGAAGTTTAAAAATGGGCAAAACCACCCCTCTGTTGGCAGAGGTCAACATGTGGTCCCTCAGCGGGGGGGGGGGGGGTACTGGCAGGGTGGGGGGCACCCCCACGGGAGACTTCTGCGGTGTTGCAAGTGGCCTCTATCTTGATCTGTGGTAGTTACATACGTGTGTGCTTACAAAACGTCACAGAGCTGCACGCTTCCAATGTGTGCGCCCCAGGTGTGTGAGTGATCACTCAGGGACAAGTCTGGGGGACAGTCCGCTGGGGCCCGGCCCCTGGTGAGGGCTTTTGCGCGCTGGGGCTGCCCGGCCCTCCGCAGGCGTGGGAGGCCAGCAGCTCACGCCCCCCCCCCCGCAGAGCAGTCTGGCCCAGTGGGGCGCGGCGGCCGCCATGCAGGTGGTGTCCCGGCGGCAGAGTGAGGTGCGAGTGCCCTGGCTGCACAACCTCGCCGCCGCCCAGGACGAGGACCACGAGGACCGGACGGACACGGAGGGAGAGGAGACGGAGGAGGAGGAGGAATCTGACACCGAGGAGAACAAGCTCAGCGAGGTAAGGCGGCGAGCAGAGGCCGAGCGGGGACGTGCACGCCTCACGGTCCCACAGCCCACTGAGGGGCCACGAAGCAGAGGCACGGGGTGGGCCTCGGCCCCCAGACCCAGAGCCGCAGCGCGTGCAGGCTGCGCTGTTCACCGCACCCCCAGACGGCCGGCTAACAAAGTACTTCCATGCCCTTCTCTCGGCTGACCCTCCCAACAGCCCCAGAAAGTAGGCAGGGCGGAGACGGTCATCCCCGTGGTGCAGGTGAGGAAGCAGGTCCAGAGAGGGGAAGTGACCTGCCCAAGGCCACGCAGCTCGGAAGAAACCGGCGGCCCCGTCCTTTCCCTCCAGCTCTGGGGGCGGTGGGGAGGACAAGGGCGGGGGGCGCGCCGCCGCAGGTGCTGACCTAGCTCTGGCCCCCCAGGTGGCAGCCCTGCCCAGCCCGCAAGGCCTCCTGGGCAGCGTGGCGCACGTGCTGCAGAAGGCCACGTGGAGCACCATCTCAGCCGTGACGTGGGCGCCTGTGGCTGTGCTGGGCTCGGCGGCGAGGATGCTGGGCCTCAGCCCGGCCCGCGCCGCCTCCCCCACCAAGGGGAGGGCCATGTCCCTGTCAGACGCCCTGAAGGGCGTCACTGACAACGTGGTAGATACGGTGGTCCACTACGTGCCGGTGAGTCCCACCCACCCCAGGGGCCTGGGAAGGACGGGTAAAGCAGATTGGACCCAAGGGGCTGCAGGGGGCCTCCTTTCCCCAATCTCCTTGGCGCCCCAGAAACATTTTGACGAACTACGGCCTTGATGGGGGGGCCCTTGCCAGCCCCAAGAGTATAGAGACACTGGCCATGGCCTGAGACCCTTTCCCACAGCCCCCCCTTCCGACCATCAGTCTGGGGGTCCCCAGTTGGGCCAGCCCTCACCTCAGGGGGTTTGCGTGCAGCTAGAGGGGAGGCTTCCAGGGCGCCCTGGGGGGTGGGCTCTGTTCCAGGGCGCAGCCGCTGCCCCATCCCTGTCCTATCACCTATTACCAACAGGAAAAACCCAAGAGACACCGATACTGTCCCTCTGGCAGTCCCCGGGCCCCTGCCCAGAGCAAGGCACGGGTTGTGTAGGCTCCAGAAGGCGCAGTCAGGCACCCACCCTTTAGAGTGAGCAAGGGTTGGGGGCGGGGGTTACTCAGTCCCTCACTTCCAAGAGGCACGCAGGGGTCTTGGCTGCCAGCCTGTTCACCTTGGGCTCCACACGGGGCCAGGCAGGGATCCCCTGCCCCTGGCTGGGACCGCGGGTGGGCTGTGCTGAGCGCACAGCTCAGGCCCAAGGGACGGTGGGAAAGCCGCTGACTTTCCACGGAGCGACCCCTGAGGGAGACCCGAGGGGTCCAGGCACTTTGGGAGGGGGGCTGCCTGCCTTGCCTTGGGGGTCTGGGCCGAGGAGGCCATCGGAGAGGGCAAGGCGTCAGCGGTCTCCCCTGCTCCCCCGCCCGCGTCGCACACCCCAGGCTGTGCGCTCCGGAAGGCCGCTCCTGGGAGGGGTGCATGCGAGGGGCCGGGAGAAGCGGTGGATGGGAGGCGCAGGGACGAGGGGTCAGGCCGGGGCCCTAACACGGCTGCCGGGCCCTCAGCTCCCCAGGCTGTCGCTGATGGAGCCCGAGAGCGAATTCCGGGACATCGAAGAGGCCGAGCGCCGGGAGGCGGAGCGCAGGGCGTCTGGGGCACCGCCCG